GGATTTTTTTTTTTAAGGAAATGTTTTCCAAAAAGCAGCCAAATGATTCTTTACAATGATGTGTATTTCACACGAATGCTCTGACATTTTTTTTTTTTTTTTCGACATGTTTCTCCAATCCTCTACATTTGAGAGATGAAATACAGCTTTTGGGGGATTGTGTCCTTGACATGCTGTCATTATAGCTCTTTCAGCTGCTGTGTGACTTATAACCCTTTTTAATCTGGTCATCTAGAGACTGTTCTTACTCCTAATTATAGATGCTTTAACCATGAAACTATTCAAACACAGTCTGCTACAATTACCCAATTAACGTTTTATGTTTTCTAAAAACAAGAAAGGAGCAAAGATAAATCTGCTTGTAATGGCAGAAATTCGCGGGGGCACTGGCTTCTGTTTTCAGTATTGCTATGACAATGGATTCATACTAACAGTGTGAGCACTGTGGGCAAACAAGCACAGGCTGTATGCCATTGTGTTGAATTCCACATCCAGCAGAATTCTATGAAGGTTTGCTACTTTTATTATTTTGTTATGGTTTGAGATCAGGAAGAAAATTGTGAATGAGTTTTGTGAAATAAAGCAGTGACTTACGTGACCATTAATTTGAAGAATTCTCACGCAGATGTTTTTGTTCCTTTTCTGGACTCTGAAAAATGAAGGCATAAAAAATACGTATCAGCAATATGCCCAGAAAGTTTCATCCTCCTCGGCTTTGAGACAGTGAGACACACGCGGGCCCTAACGCTGCATCTGGTGCCCAGTGTCTTTTCTCTAGGCAGCCACGGTGTTCGGTTCTCTCCGCCTGCTGCACCTGCTGAAATTAGCCGGTGCTTCCTGACCCAGCCTCCGAAAACACTCCCATGTTGCCAGAGGGGGAAGTGATGGGTCTCTGCTTAGTTAGTGGTTACCCACAGGAGAAGTTTTTTGTTTATTTTAGAGAGAGGAAGGGAGAGGGAGAGAGAGATGGAAACATCGATGAGAGAGAACATCGGTTGGCTGCCTCCTGCATGCTCCCCACTGGGGATCGGGCCCACAACCTGGGCATGTGCCCTGACCAGGAATCGAACTGGTGACCTCTTGGTGCAGGGTCGATGCTCAATCACTGAGTCACACCGGTTGGGCTATTGTCTGCTTTTTAACCCAGGGGCTGTTCAGGACCGTAAGTGTGCTCACTCCACCAGCCACCAGCTTGGAGCTTGTGCTCACTACAGTCGTCCTGCCGGAGGCCGCTGATTTCCCTGAGAACAGACCCCTCCTGTCTCAGGTGGAAGGGCAGGACAAACTGCTCTTTTTTTTGAAATCATTTTTTATTTTTCAATTACAGTTGACATACAATATTATATTAATTTCAGGTGTATACCACAGTGATTATGCACGATAAAATGTATTAAGTGATCATCCCTCAAAAATCTCATACCCTTCTGACACCATACATAGTTATTAGAATGTTACTGATTATATTTCCTATGCTGTACTTTCCACTACACTATAACTACTAATTTGTACTTCTGTGTCCCTTCATCATAATGAAAATGCCAAAGGTTAAAGACAATGAGAGGATCTTAAAAGCAGAAAGAGAAAAGCAGTTAGTTATCTACAGGGAGCTCCCATAAGACTGTCAGATGCTTTCTCAACAGAAACTTTGCAGTTCTGAAGGGATAGGCAAGAAATATTCATGAAAAGCAAGGACCTATAACCAAAATTACTCTATCCTGCAAAGCTATCATTTAGAATTGAAGTTCTGATAAAGAGTTTCACAGAAATGAACAAGCTAAAGGAGTTCATCACCACCAAACCAGTATTATATATTAAAGGGTCTTCTTTAAGAAAAAGAAAAAAAAGATTAAAAATATGGACAACCTGGCCCTTGCTGGTTTGGTTCGGTGGTTAGCGTGTCAGCCCGCAGACCAGAGAGTCCTGGGTTCGGTTCCCGCTAAGGTGCACGTACCTCAGTTGCATTTTGTCCCTGGCCCAGGTTGGGGTCGTGTGGGTGGCAACCACTCGATGTTTCTCTCTCACATCGATGTCTCCCTCTCTCTCGTCCTCCTGTTCTATCTGAAGATGAATGCAAACATGTCCTGGGGTGAGGATTAAAAAAAAAGAAAAAAATGTGGGCAAGCTGTTCTTGTTATATCTGTCAGTGATTTGGGAAAATTAAAAGTGTAGAGTCAGGAGACCCTCTAAAATGATTTCATCATACCTGATTCACTTCAAAAGGATCTGAAAAGCTCTCAGAGATACATTGAAGATAAAAATAAGAAAAATTAAATTAGATGAAGAAAGAGATCAACGGAAAATAATCCAGGGAAAACGATATGAAGCCAAGGGTAAACATTAGTAAAACTAACATTCATTATAAGTTATGTACTGTTGTAGAGCTGGGCTACAATTTGGACTGGAAGATTTTCCTAGTTGTCTGAAAATGAAGGAGAGCTGATTCATAGTATCCATGAGCTGCAACATGCCAGTACCTACAGAGAAACAGATTAAAAACAAACCACCGAAAGCACCAGCTTGCCCCTGGGTCCTCGTCCAAGGATTGAGTGTGACGTGGGAGCTGTGTGTGACCACATTCGTCCCCTCCCCCAATCCCAGGTTCAGTGAGAGAGCAAGGCTTAGGGGTGTGGCAGGTTTGTAAGTATCAATCATGTCTTTACTGCTGTTTGATTTCAATACATTTTTCATTTCTATCAAGTGAAAATAAGCACAGATATGCAGATGACCTTATAATAAAAAGCAACAGCTCGTAAGGTGAGATATTAATCTCCCCCCCCCCCGCCCCATCTCCCCCAGCCCCACCTCCGCCCATGATGTTCACATGGGCGTCTCTGCTTTTCTATTGCCCAAGCTGCATAGCATATGTACTTGGTTCCATAACCATAACTAAACCCTCTGCCTTTGTTCCAGTAGTGTGATTGCACGGTTGCACATCAAGCGGCTGCCTCCATCCTGGGACCACAGTGGTGTGTAAATGCGTGCCCACACTTAGCTGTGCATAGAAAATGAGATTCATTCTTCCCCGCGACAGATGGGGAATCACAACCCTGACCCTTCTGTGTGGCTGGGAGAACGTGCCCTCGCTGATTGGTCACATGTCATTGGGCCATGGGTCCCCGAGACTGTTTCCCACGTCTGGGTTTGCTGAGTCAGTGGGAGGGTGCAGGACTCGGTATACAGCCGGACATGCAGGAAAGGGTTATTCCAGAAGAGGGTACCGGCCAGCGGAGGGAAAGGCACATGGAATGGTCTAGGGGAGACGGGCAGGCAAGTTGCCAAGAGTCCTCTTCCCCTTGAGTCACGCAGGACACGCCTGCTCCTCCGTAACAACTTGTGACAGCCCTGGGTGTTTACTGGGGACGGACACCCTCCTGGGCAGGGACAAGGAAGGTGTTTGGCATAAACCACATTGTCAGCACAGACACTTTAGATGATGCAAACCCTCGGCATCAGTAAGAACGGGGTGGGGACCCCCACATCCAAATTCCCCGAGGCCAGCGAAGGGCCAACCGTGGAAGCGGCTGCTCTCAGGACCCGTCTCAGGTGGCTTTGTGGCCTGTTTTCTGCAGGCATTTATACCTCCCCCTTACGCTGTGGCTCTCAGTTTAGTGATCTGTGAATTCATCATGTACTTATCTCCTTGTGAGGTTTAAAGAGTCTCTGTAGAAGCTCGGCTTCTGGATGTCTGGAAGTCTCCAGATTCCTCCTCTTCCCCTGTGTCTCTCTAACACAGTAGGTGTGCGTGTGTGTTGATGGAGGAGGGGAGGGGGATGGCGAGCCTGTGGGAGGGGCTGTGCAGACCTGTGGGAGGGGCTGGGACCCTGGCATGCCTTCCTGTTCTCCTGGTTTCTGCGGCAGGGTTGGAGTGGGCGACTGTGGTGCTGGCTGCTGATGACCCCTGGTGTGGTCCCAGTGTCCTTGGTAGTAAATCACTGCAGCCACCGCCCTCTGCCCTAAACGTCCTTCTCCCCTGCAACGCCGCCCTCCTTCCTCCCCTGCCAGCTGCAGAGACACCACCCAGGTCTCGGGGGCTCCCCCCGGCACAGCTGCGGAGAGGCCGAGGCTGAGCCCCTGGGCCTGTCCCTCGAGCCGGCTGCCACGCTTCTGCACGCGAGACCCCCAGGCGCACAAGCAAACGTTGCAGCTCTGCAGGTCCGACACCTCTCCTCACCGTCTCCCACGCGGGGTAACTAGGTTCCAGAGAGAACTGTACGTGAATCTTCCCCTCTGAGCTTGGAAGGTACTGTTGCTACTTTAAAATTCCAGCTCGGTTTTTGTTGCCAGCAGATGATCCAGCATTTCCCTCTAGAAGAGTTCAGGATCATCTGTTTATGAAAGTGTAACTCGATGGACATTTAACTTTCTCCGTGGCTCCGGGGCGCACCCTGCCCTCCCTCCCTCCGCCCTTGCTTGTCTGGCTGTCTGCTTCCCTGTGGTCCTGCAGGGCACAGGGGCCCGTCTGCTCGCAATCTGTCCCCCAGCGATGCTGTCTTCCCGGTGGCACGGCGGGTTTGCTGGTCTTTAAACGTATTTTCCATGGAGCCTGGGAGAGAGAGGAGAGAACTGTGGCTGCCCAGCTTGCCTCCTCCAGCCCCCCTGCTGCCCCCAGATAATCCTTTGGAGTATAATTTCCATGTGTGTTTTTATTTAAAAATTGTGAGTTGATATCACAATGAACTTAAGAAAATGATTTAACTTTTCAAGCAGTTACATTGAACTGTCATGGGGCGACCACCACAGTGAAGTGACCTGCGTGTGTGGAGCCATAGGCCCAGTACCACCGCAGGACATTTATGGACAGGGTCCCGACCTACTACACCCCCCAGAGGGATCTTGAGGACCCCCGGGTCTCTGGACCATTCTTGGAAAGCCTTTGGGGAACACAGTAATTTCATTGTCGTTTTATACTGTAAGTAGACAGCTGTGAGAGACTGCATTTGGGAGATCATTTCTATGACAACGTGTGCACCAAGGATGTGTTTGTTTGCTTTCTTGCAAAGGGTCCATCCTGCTGGGAAGATGTGTTAACCCCAAACCGGATGAGTGGTGAATGCCAGTCTGCAGACTGCCCTGGGACAAGAGCCGTGAGTACCTGATCACACCCGTCCTGTCGGACGGCACCTGATCACACCCGTCCTGTCGGGACGGCACCTGATCACACCCGTCCTGTCGGGACGGCACCTGATCACACCCGTCCTGTCGGGACGGCACCTGATCACACCCGTCCTGTCGGGACGGCACCTGATCACACCCGTCCTGTCGGACGGCACCTTCCGTGTTCACTGGGAACTACACAGAGACGGAAACGCTCTGACGTTTCCTCCATCTGAAATCTTCACCAAAGATGTGGCGAGATTCACAAGTGTTTGTAACATTCACCAAAAAGTCCCCCCGTGTCCTTGCCTGCCGGCGTCTCGGCCCTGGAGCCTTAGCCACGGGGGCCTCGGCCCCAGCCCGACAGCTTAGAGTCCTTACAAGGTGGTGGTTGAGGAGCGAAAAGAACCAGTTCAGGGCCTGGCAGAGGAAGCGAGGAAGACGCAGGGACCACGATCTTCTGGTGCTGCGGCAGTTTGGGCTTTGATGGCACATCCGGCCCAGCACGGCCTTGCGCTGTCTCTCCACCCTCCTCCAGCACCTTCCCGCCACGGTGCACAGCGCACAGCTGGGGGCCCCTGCTCCCTGCAAACGGGCACCTGTGTTTCATAAGGAGTGGGCGTTTCTCGAAAGAGACGCCGAGCGCTAAAGTTATCTTAAACACAATTATGAGGGTCATGTGAGTGATTTGTCTATTGTTACACTTTTTACCTCCTAAGTCCCCGGGCCCATCATAATCCGAGTGTGTGTTTTTTCTGAGCCGTAAATACTGTTTCTGCGCCAACACAAATGTCACTGTTAGTTCACAAACTGTCTTAGCCAGCTGGCAGCTAATGTCTTCTCTGAGGAGCAAGTCTGTCAACAGCAACCGGTACGGGGTTTGAGCCGGGGTCACCAGACCTGCCTCGGTCTCCGGCTGCAGGTGGCGTGAGGATCCCGGGGTAGCGGTGGACAGTGGTAACTCCCTCTCCAACGCACTGGGGCTGGCGAACACGGACAGATTTCTGTTCATGCAAATCCCGGAGAAAGAATGACTCGCGTGTCACTCACCGGGATGGAGCGTGATGCAGTCTTGCAAATTTGCTGCTAGAATAAAACTGAAGTGCATATATTTTATGGGGGAGAATTCTTGAGTGTAATTATCGATGTGTGCATGCATACAAATGCAACATGTGTAAATCATAGTATATATAACATGCAGATGGAATTACCTTTAACAATAGTAAGATAGGTCCATACCCTCTGGCATCCATAACCGATGGTCTCCGTATCATCTTTATGGTAGTGGGAGGTTCTTTGAAAGTTTCCTTCAGTTGCGGCCTCTCAGGGACCTTGCTATTACTTGGCAGGATTTGGTCGCAGCAGAAGAGACAACTTTGCATCTGTAAGTTCACCTTGATCAAAGGGGGGATGCTGTGCGGGGTCGAGAGCCATGGCCGTGTTCGGCTGGCCGTGATGTCAGTGCACAGGAGTCCATAGACATGGGGGACAGTGCAGCTGGATTTCCAACGGTCAGTGAACCGATGCCCTCCAAACCTGTCCTCCACTTCCCGCACACCCCGCCTGCAAATCTGGGCTACGTTCCACACTCGTGTCTTTAAAAGCGTGGCTGACAACACGGTGAGGAAAGTTAAAATGCCCTAATTCAGAGAAGCCAGACTTCAGAACGGATATCTGTAAGCTGCAGCCACTGACCCCGGGGGCTGGAGCCTCAGACAGCAGAGGTCACGGGCTCAGGGCCTCATCCAGGGGGCAGCGAACCCGCAGAGCCCGACGCAGAGCGAGCACCCGCGTTGGGTCAGCAGGAGGAAGGAGCTAGGAATTGTTGCCTAGTTTGTTTTCCCTCCAGGTGGATGTGACATGTTACTCCTTAGACTCGGTGAGCACGAACCCATCTTTCCCTATGTTTGGAGCCAGTCGGTGTTCCCTCCGTGTGGTGCCTGAGTCCTGAATCTGTCGTTTAAAGCCTGGTAGAGCTGGGAACTGGGCTGAAACTTTCTCAAAACCTCCAGGGAGGCTGGTCCTCGAATGTTTCCCTCCGGTAATGTTTCAAGGAGCAGGAACGAACCATCAGCAACACCACAGGTAGACACAGCCACCGTGAATGAGGACGAGGGGAGGGAATGCAGAGAAGGGAGCTGTCAGGGAGGGAACCGAAGTGTGCTAACTGTGCTTTAGAAAGGAAAGTGCATAGAACAAATGATTTAAAAAAACACTCTGAGAACTGTCCAGTCCTGGTAAAAGACTGAACACACACAAGCAGCACACACACACGGACACGGAAATTCTGGAATGAAAAGTTCTGAAGGTGGGCTTACTAACTGGGTTAAACAGTGGATCCAAAGGTAAAACCTCAGTGAGAACTTAGACCTGAAATCTGACCTGGTGCAGTCACTCAACATGCAGCCAGAAACTAGAACTGATTTAAAATATAAGAGAAGCTAGACAACGTGGAAGATAGAGTGGAGAATTCCAAATGCTGGATTTCCAGAAGAAAATAATTGAGAGAATGATGGAAAGGTCATATTGTAAATAGATAATGAAGCAGAGCCTCACAGAATTTTTAAGATTTAAGAATCCGAGTGAATCCCAAGGAACAGAATGAAAGTCGCACCTAAATCGCTCAAACCGAAACTGCAGACTAGAAAAGTCAGAGAAGTTCTGCAAGCAGCTGGAATGAGGACACTAATTAAAGAATGATAATCAATAGCTAACTAATCAGCATTGATGTTGGAAGACACAGGACCAGGGAACAATGTCCTCACAACGTTGAAAGGAAGTAGATGTGAAGCTATAAACTTGTGTTTAAGAAAACTCTTACAGCCCTGGCCGGTTTGGCTCAGCAGTTAGAGCGTCGGCCTGCGGTCCAGAGAGACCCGGGTTCGGTTCCCGCTAAGGGCACGTACCTCGGTTGCAGTTTGTCCCCGGCTCTGGTTGGGTTGTGTGGGTGGCAACCACTCAATATGTCTCTTTTACATCGATGCTTCTCTCGCTCTCTCCTACTCTATCTGAATAAAATGTGGAAAAATGTCCTCTGGTGAGGATTAAAAAAAAAAGAAAAGAAAAGAAAACTCTTACAAACAGAGGGCAAGAACAACAACGAAGGCATTTTCAGGCAAAGAGGGACTTGGGGAATTTACTGCCATCGGAACCTTTCAAATATTTTTTAAAATAAAAATTTTAGAAGGAAAGAAAAATGATCCCCAAAGGGAGGCTTCGAATTTGAGAAGTAATGGTAGGAAAATGTGTAGGTAAACCTGAACAAAATACAGCCGTCAGTACGACATTATCTGCTCTAGGGACGTGTTTATAAAGACTGTACGTAGTGACCAGGCAGTGTTGCTTGTAAGCACGGGGCATACACTGAGAGCGTTCTAGGACCATTGTATTTCTTACCAAAAGTAAACTTGGTTTTGGTCCATGAATGTTCCTAGCAGCTTGGAAAGGGCCACGGGTCCGGCCAGGGGTGGAAGGGCAGACGCACCTGTTACTGGTGGTGTAGCCACCAATAAAAAGGAAAGAAATGACGACCCAGCCTCCAGCATGGGCAGACCTCAAAATAACCGTGCTTGGTGCAAGACGTTTAATTCCTTGATCATTTCTCTTAAAACTGTTTCTCTGGATTGCATTACAACCCAGCTAAATATAAGCCATGGCTCCGGTATTTTCAAAAGTATTCTGTGTGGTGTTTATTTCTTCAGGGTGTAAGAAGATGGGCATTTTTAACTAGTTTATGACACTTAAGTTTGCAAAGTGTTTTGGATTTTGGACAGTATTTTGTACACTATATAGTACGGTCTCATTAAAAAGCTTAATTTCTATCACTGGTATAAACAGCCATATACTTAAAATTCAAAACAGCGGGGTTTCTAATGTATTCTTAATTAATATTTATGTGCTTAAAGATAATCTAACTGGCTCATCTGAAATAGCAGTGCAAGTTAACCTTGGTTCTTAAGAGTACAAATCTAAACCTGACCTTCGCACAGAGATCCGAACCTAATTCAGTTTTCCACTAATTGGTGTCATTGTAGGAAGGAACACAGCGTTAGTTCTGAAAGGCATCTTCTTTTATAGAAAGAATTTCTTAGTCAATTCAGAGAGTATATGCTTGAGACTAAAAGAGGGGAAAATCAATTAGGATTTTCTCCATTAGTGGAATTAATTCAACTTTGGATATGATGTAAGACTTTAAATTTTCTAGTTGAATATTCATTTTATATTGTACCCACGATACTTTAAACAGGAAAGATCTTTGTGTTTTACACGTGTTGGGGGATGCATGTTTTTAAATTTGCACACACATAGGCTGAGGCAAGCCCGGAGGTCCTCCTGTCTGGACGCTGTCCCTCAGGTCCACATCCTAACGTTTAAAAGCCAACACCTCCTGGTCATCAACACTGCCCTGTGAAGACCCCGGGGTGGAGTTGCTTAGCCAACCTCAAAACCATGCCTCTCTCTCACCCCTGAGAATTGGGCAGCAGACTTTAGTTTCAACACATAGTTTCTTGTATGAAAAAGAAAAAAAAGTTAATTTATCTTTATAGCTGAAAGTATTACAGTTGTCCCTCTCCCCCCCCCCCACCATTGACACCCTCCTCCCCACTCCTGACTCACCCTTGACCACTCTATTGTCTGTGTCCACTGATTATGCACATATGTGTATAAGTTCTTTGGTTTATCTCTTTCCACCCCCACCCCCCCTTCCCTTTGAGGTTCATCTGTCTGTTCCCTCCTTCCACATCTCTGGATCTATTTTGTTTGTCAGTTTGTTTTGTTCATTAGATCCCACAGGTAAGTGAGATCATGTGGTGCTTGTTTTTCTCTGAGGGGCTTATTTTGCTCAGCATAATACTCTCCAGGTCCCTCCATGCTGTCTCAAAGGTAGGAGACCCTTCTTTTGCACAACTGCATAGTATTCCATTATATACATGTTCCACCGCATTTTTGCCCATTCATCTAATGAGGGATGGGCTGTTTCTAGATCAAA